AAATTCGTGTTTATTTATTGCAATTATTCACCATACCACAAATTTGTTACCTTCCTTTTCTTTCTGATCTCTATTTTAAAAATGAAAATTGCATCAATTGAAAATTCCAAGAATTCCATTATCTTCAATATCATTTTTATTACTTTATTATCAGTGCCAATATATCGCGTATACAATAATTTGACGATACATAAATTCCATAATTCATGGTACAAATGAGATTTCCATGGCTGGAAATAAGACGAAATTGCATGGAAAACTTCGTCGTCGTTTCAAAATCAAGTTCGAAAATCTTTCAAACACAAATGAAATTAAATTAAATTCCTACATAAAGATAGATATCTTTAATTTAAAGATTATCATTTTCAAAAAAAAAATGGAATATGGAAAATTCATCGATTACACTTGACTCGATATCGTATACATTTTGCTCGATATTTGTTTCTTGCCATTTCACACCAAAGATCTTATCCTTATCCATCATTGTATAAATTTCTCTCGCAATCCCTCCCTTCGTTTCCCCGATCGATTCTTCGAAAGATGCTCAAAATTTTCTGGTCCATTTCACTTCGAAGAGTGCACGACAAGCGCATAAGATCGATCGGGGTGGTAAAGTGGAGCATGGCCCTGTTTACGAGTGGTTCGTTAAAGGTGTGGATCGAAAACAATGCAGCCGCCGTGTTTCGTTCGAAAAATGAAATTCTAAGGTTCGATCGATGCTCGAGATGGAGGAAAGGAAAGGAAGCTGAAGGAGAGAGGGAGAGAGAGAGAGAAAAAATAACATCGGTAACCGAAAGGAATAGAATTCAACGGAGGAGAGGTTGGCTGGTTGGTCGATTTACGAGGTAAATAAATTTCGCGAAAAAAGGAATTCGCTCGGTGAGGGCCACGCTGCTATTTCTATGGGTAACCGTGTGGCCTTTCGTTCCCTGCGGAACCATTATTATCGAGCACGCGAGACTCGACGAGACAATGGCTGCGGCAGAGATTGCAAGAAACCGGGCTCCCTTTTACCTCTTTCTCGTATTTTCTACGCCGAATTCGTCTTCCGGCTGACCAAGCGGAAATCTATCGCGATACTGGTCACCCCTTTTGAATTTCGTTTAGATCGCGATACAATTTTTTCCTCCTTTTCTAATCGTTTCTCATCGTTTATCTCTTTTTCAATTGGAAATTTAAATGCTTGCTTGATCGAATGTTTATTTATATTTTTGTGCCTCTACGTCTACTTAAAAATGGTTTTGAATTAAAATTATTTAATTATTTCAATAAAACAAATTTTATCAAGAGGATAGATAACGAAGTTTATTTTATTTTTATTTATAAAGATTCGAAGAGAAGAATTTCATTTTTTTATGTAAAAGTTTTTTTTTTCTTATAAATGATTTTAAGATACAAAGGCATAGAAATACGAAATGAATGCTCTAATTTGATCGTTTGTCGTTGTATCTCTTCTTCGTTAAATATTTGAAACTAAGTGACGTTTATTCTAGCTGTAATTATCCGCCACGAAGTAATTTCAATATTTGTATAGATAAAGGATATATAACGGACAAAAAGTATAAAATATTCGTATATAGAGAAAAAGCAATTTTTTTTTTATTTGTTTGGTTTTTAAATTTCTTAATTGATATTTAAAAAAAAAAAAAGAAAGGACTAAAATGAATTTTTATTCAATGATATATTAAAATATCTATCGTTAAGTTAATTACAGATAAAATGAACGAGTTTTTTTTTTTTAATGCTTTTTGAACTTATTAAACGAGATTAAAATTATTGCAATTAAAATCTTAATTATTATTTATATAAATTATTAACGATTAATATTCCAATTAATTAATTTACTTTTTACTGTTTATATTTTCACAATTTATATTTTCATTGACAGATCGTGTGTTCTCTTAATATAACCTTTTCGAAAATTATTAACTTTTACGCGTTGTGCTCAAAATATTTGTACAACAAATTCATCATTATTTCGAATTTAACGTCGAATCACATTTTATTATAATATACAATTTACTCTTTCGTAATAAAATAATTAATAAAACGATATTCAAGATGTATTTAACTAATTTCGAGTTTTGAATTGACATGTGACAAATATTATTTAACAAATATTATTTAATATATATTAAATACGATACGAATTCATATTAAATCATATTAAAATCATAAATTCTAAATGATTTTAATAGATTCTAATAATCTAAGAAAAAATATTACAAATTATCTTCTAAACCTCTCAATTTTTTAATTTTTTCCTTACCTTTGCGTACGTAGCAACTTTTATATTTGTTCAAAATCAACGTTCTAAAAAATATTCCACCAATATATTAATAAATATATTCAATTAGTGAATAAAAATTTTTATTCTTTTATCCACTACACGTATATCAAAATACTTTTGACCAATGTCTGAAAATATTCTGTAATAAAAAATTATTGGATTAATCAAAAAATTCGTAATTTTCATTAAAAGTTGACATTATGTGAATGTGTTTATGAACTTCCAAGAAACAATTCGAATATGTGTCGTAATTGTTACATACATACAAGTTATACATATATCAAGATACAAGAAAAACATTCACAAAGCTACACATACAAACAAAAATTACAGGTTTGTCCGGCGTACTCTTCTCATTCTTATCCCTTCAGACTGTCATCCTTTTCGATCCACGCAGAATCCCCTGCAAGGAACAAAACGATATCAGAGAGATATTTCGAGGTACCTCTCAGAAAGGTGGAAAAAAATCATAAATCAAAACGAATAATAGATACTTGCCTTGACTAAAAAAAAAAAAAAAAAAGAAAAGTGTCTTTCCAAAACACTCACTTTCGACAACCAGCCCAAGAACTCTATATACTCTCCAACTATTCGATCACAGAAGCGTATCACTTTCTCATCGCATCCCGCTCATATCGGGAAAATAACGTGTTTGGATCGTTTCCAAAAAAGGAACGAAGATCAAGACGCGGTGTAATCCATCTTCGAGGAGTTCGATTTTCGAACGCATGATGAGAGACGCGTACAGTGGACACAGGCATACGCGAAATATCCGGCATAACTTTGATTCGTGCCCAGCCAACCCAGATCCAGTTTTAGCCAGAATGACGCAGTGCGGAGAGGGGGGGGAGGAGGAGGAGGAGGAGGAGGAGGAGGATCAGGGTGGAGTTTAAGGGTCCTGCCCGGGTCATAGTCCTTTGGGAAACGGACCGAGGCATCTGGTATAACCCTCTGATTTCTGGCCGACATCCCTCGCTTTTCGTATCCCGGGGCCATGCGAGTCACTGTCTGGGGGTGACTTACTTTAAAGGGGGGAGACTTGCGTTGATTGGCGACAGGATATTCTACTTGGGAACTAACAGGGTTTGGATGTCCCGTCCACCTTTATCCGGGGAAAGCTCCCGTATCTCGTCTCGAGCCTTGATCCGGAGGATATAATTGATATAAGTTAAGGGAGACTAACTTTAGATCCCCTGTTTCCCGCTATTAATAGATTTGCAATTGGCGCGAGAACGCCGCTCATAGTTTCCGCGGGAGTCTATGTTGACCGATTGTTGATTGAAGAAAGGTGGTAACTGAGAAAATGTATATTTTTGTATCGGATAATCAATATTTTTCGTTTTGTTTCGATGCTAAATATGCGAATTGTAATATTTTAGTTAGAAATATTGACAAAATATTAAAATAAAGGATTGTTTATTGTTTCTTTAAAATTGTTGAAACCAATAAAAATTGTATTGACTCGTTATTACGAATAGATTCCTCGATACTTGCTTTAGTACTTGTTGAAAAGTTTTAAATAGAAGGATATAAAAAAAAATATTAAAACTATCAGCTGCAATTAACTACGTTTGAGAGTTAATAAAACAATTTTAGTAAAAAATATTTCAACGTTACCGTTATTAATATCCGTGACAAAGGTTCCAAGAAATCATATATTTTCCACATTATTCATGGAACAACGTTAGACCTCTTTAAGAGGCTTTGCTAAAGAACTTCATCCGCCTTTTCCCTCCTCTTTTTCATAAACTTGTTTTCCATCAACAATCTCGCATGTATGATCAACGGCAGAGAGTACGTCCAACGTAGAAGCTTCTACGCGGGAAAAATATTTAAATGGCCGCCAATAAGCTGTCTCGATCGATTTGCCAGCAAAAAGAGATAAAGGAAACATCTTCAAAAAAAATTTGAGATCGTCATGTTTGCCAGGATAACCGGATAAAATGAACGCCGACCCTAGGGTTGGTCCATCAGATGCATTTATGCATCCCGATCCGAGTGTCCTCGCACTCAAGGAAGACGGATTTCGCTGGAGCGAAAGGGGATCCCATGTTTCTGGCATGGTTGAAAAATAGATACACCGGGGATCGAGTGGCTGTTCTCACTTGGAAGAACTTGTAAAACACGGAGCCAATTTTTGTAACCGCATCCAAGATATGGAAATCTCGTCCAAGATTCCGCGGACGTTCCTTCGATAAGGAAGATGGATCTAGGAAATTTGATCTAGGAAAATTGGCTGATCGACTGTAGAGAGAGGCATCTGCTTCCGCATTTATCAAGGAGAATTTGATAAAACTCATGGTGGATGGGTGTGGATAAATGGATTAAGTTGGAGAAAGAATGTTAGGAAGAGAGAGGTTAGGTTAAGTGGCTCGATCGACGCGTGTCTATCTCCTGTAAATGCGAAATATATCGTCATAAGATGGCGCCACTGTCGTTTAGTTGATATCAAACCAACTGTTTTACTCGACGATATTTATTTTTCGAATTTTTTTGTTTTCTATCTCTGTTTATCCATTTCATTTTTGTTTGATTTTGAAATCAGATAAATAAACGCGCTTCGAACTAATATATACGCGCTAATATTGATTCAAAACGAGTAAATGTTTGTCGTTAAATAGATCAAGAGAGATTTTAATAATTTCGATTCGTTTACCTGGTTTTATCAACGAACGATTTAACGTATGAACGATTTTCCCGTCGATTGCAGATACTTGCAAGACAAGCTTCCATTCATCGACCGCACCAGGACGGCGATATGGGGTTGGAGTTATGGTGGATACGCGACGGGAATGACGCTCGCCATGGATTATCACGGAGTCTTCAAGTGCGGCATGTCCGTGGCACCTGTAACAGATTGGGCTCTTTACGGTACGTCTACGAGAGATAATATTTTCATCCGTTGAATACACGCATACTTTATCGTTATTTCATTCTTTCTTTTCTTATCGTACTTCGCCGAATATTTAACATTCGATTCAACGCTCCTTACTTTATCTCCAATTTTTTTATATTTCCGCATCTCTTATATCCTTGGTTAAAATCTCGAAAATCGAGGTGTTTGAATTTCGAAAGAAATTCAACTACTTGGCAAATTTTGATCTCGCTTCTCTGATACACATACCCCAATTTCGTTAAATTTATTGAATATCATCCTTCATTCGGTCATCGATGATAAGCGAATATCGAACACGAATCTGCCCCTTTGATTTGAACTGCAAACTTCTGTTAAACCTTCTGTTCAATCTTCTACGAAATTCTCTCCGCTCTGAGGACGTGTCTTTAACCTTTGGCAAACGTAATTTCCAATTATGTTTAATCTTAGCGATCGTCATCGAAACAACTTAAACGTATCGTTTATTATAAAATTATCAAAATGAAACTTTGAATTAATCGCAAGATAGAAAACGTTCGATCTTTGATACACCAAGTCACGATGATTTGCATGGTAAGAAGTGTAAGTATCGAAGAGAGGCAAGCGAGAAGGTGGGAAAAACGAGAAGTTGGACGGTTCGTTTCAGCCTCGATCGATTCAATTATTGTCGAGGTCTTGTCGCAACCGGCTACGCTCGCATTTCAAGATATCAGATTTATTTCCTCGTCGAGAAATCATCGTTCAGAATCGTCCCTATCGTAACGAGGAATGCTCGATCTTCCTCGTCGATGCACATTTTTAACACGAGTATTTCACTTTTTTCCTCTCTTTCTTTCTTGAAAGATATCATCTTTATAGATATCGATTGTTGCGTCCTTCTTTCTTCGTGCTTTCTTTTATTTTTTGTTGAACGAAAAATTTTCATTTTTATGCATAATTGTTTATGTTCCTTTTTTTTATAAAAATTGTCATTTTTTCATAAATATTGGAAGTCATATTTGAATATATTAAAGATATAATTTTCAGACACAAATATTTCAGTGCTTTTTGAAATAAATTTTTAAAGATACCAAGCAAGCTGATATATCAATCTTCTTATATCAATATAAACGCTTGAATAAATTAATTATATTAACCAAAATGTGTTATCTATTATTGTATATAATCTATTTTATATATGTATCAAATATATATGAATTATTCGTCGATATATAATATATTTTCTTTGTTATTATATTATTTATAAATTCAAACATCAATATATTAATCTTTTGTTCTTTTCATATCATCTATATTATATCATTCTAATTGAGTGTAGTAACAATCTACAATCTCAAATAAGATTATATATAAAAATTTTCATAATAATATACGTTATAATGCGTATATATATATATATTTCCACTGTACAATTTTTTTTATCGTGATATATTTGACTGTTTAAAAGATCAGTAATAAAACGAAATAAAACATGAATATGTTTATATGTGAATTTTAATTTCACATGGATATAATTTCAATACATATTATACTCATATTAATAAATGTATTAATCACTGACCATTATATGAGATACATATGAATGAAATAGAATGTAATATCAATTATTGCTCACCTCTCTCTTATTTTTTTTATTGATATTTCCTTGTCATTTTTTTTCTTTCCTCCCCCCTCCTCCCTTTTTTTTACCGAATTAGAAAAAATAAATTTAATAAAATTATCATAAATGATAAACAATATATGGACAGAGAACATATGTATAACGATGCATGCGAAAATAATAAATTCATTATTTGTACATTAATTACCAGTATATCGACTCAGTAAATATGTATTGGAATGATAATTATAATATAATTTCTCGGGACGAGATAATTTACACCCACGCGCTAATTAAAGATCATTAATGCGATATCGATGAATGGTATATTCGATTGGGAAAAAATTCTCGCAACTGATGGAAAATTTAATCGATATACGAGAGAGAAACAAGCCCTCCTCTTCATTGTAAACATTTCCACGGAAAGAATTTTCGATTCGCATCGCTGCCTCATTTCGCTTGACTTGCTTAACCAATCAAAATAAAAGAAGAAAAATATATATAGATATAGTACATGTACAACGTTGAACGCAAAAACTATCGTTTCTGGAATTGAATTCCATGCGAAATCGAATCGAAAATGTTCGTCGAACGATCGTAACCGGAAACGAACGATTCCTCGGCAACAGTTTAACGGAAGAAAATGCTGCTACCGCACTTCACCCCTATAAATCATCGAGTAGCAAATGTTCTATTAAATGGGGGCTATTCGTAGGGGCCATTGAACGATTCAATTATTTTTCGCGTGATTAATTTCCAAGATTTCCCGTAAAAGTTCTTTTTATTTTATCTGTTTAAATTTAAGAAGAAGAAATTCTTCGAGTCCAGAAAAATATTTAAAAATCCTTTAGTTTTATAATTGATATATTTTGTAAGAAATAAATCTCTTTTGGATTAAGCTTATTTTTCAATTTTTCACCATTTTCGTTCATTTTTTCACCAATAATTTTAATATCATTGATACGTGGAATGAAATAAATAAACGCAGTGGCTGGTATCTTGGTTCGTGGATCATTTTTATTTTTCGTGCACGATATCTTTCACATGCAACGATAATTGCTGATTTAAAAGTTAAATTTAAAATTTTAAATTTACTTGTGACATAAGTAACGATAAATAATTTTTTCACAACTTATCGCACGAAGGAAATGATCCTATTTTTAATCTTTCGATTTTTAAACTCGACGAATTTCCAAAATAATTAATACCTGTACCGTGTACCAGTAGCACGTACACACGCATGAAGCAATTTCCAGACAGCCTCGCGGATTAATTAAGTGACATGCCGGATGTAATTCACCGGCGCGATTACGCGCGAAGCGTGTCGTTTTGTTTGTCGCACCCTCTGTGGCAAAAAGAATCTCAACGAGATTTTCCTTTGGGTGTTGGTTATTTTTAATTAAACTGCTGAAAAACTCGTAGATTGTTGCAACTTATATATTCTCAACGCTAAATTTTTTATTGCAATGGAATTTTAAAATTACTAGTATCGTAGAAATATCTGCTCACAGATATTTTTTAACTGTGAAACACCTCGAGACGAATACACGTGTTAATATATTCGTGTGACGTTTCTGAAAGATTGAAACAAAGAAAATTTAGTTATATACAAAAATATCTGTCTTCGTCATACTACCTGTCCCCTATGAATATATTAACATTCCTATGTTCCACCACATAATCTATGCATGTATAAAACAAAAGGAAATACCAGTTCTATCATTCATTATATAACACTATAAAATGATTTTATTTAATATTGAAAATAATGAAAGAAAAAATTAAGTTTGATGAGATGTTCATAAAAAATTCGATTACAGATTCGATATACACGGAACGGTTCATGGGCCTACCATCCGACAACTTGCACGGCTATGAGCAAGGTCAACTATTGAACAAAGTGGATAACATTAAAACAAAGATGTATTACTTGATCCACGGTACTCTGGACGATAACGTGCACTATCAGCAATCTTTGTTGCTCGCCAAGGTTCTCGAGCAAAAGGATATTCTGTTCAGGCAACAGGTACGGTATTCGGAAGATTTATCTTCCGATAATTGATTTATTACGCTTTATTTCTTTGCTATTTTATCGAGAAATTTCGTTTATTTCTGAAAATGAGCGAAACATAGATATAAATGTTAAAAAGAAAAAAAAAGGAGAGGAACGTGTCATTTCGCTTCGTATTATTTCAAAGAGCTTATGAAATTATTATGCTTAGCATTTATCTACGTGCTTCCTGCCCGGTTCATGGAGTTTAATATTCACGATTAAAATCTACAAAGCGCATGCGAAGAACAGTTTTATTCCGTGTGAATAAATTCCCACTGTTTCGCTTAAGTTTCGCGTGAAACACTTTTATTTAAATGACAATTACAGTTGTGTTTTCGTTGTAATCGACATTATTTGTTTTCCCTTCAGATAAATAGCTCATTTGTATTATTTTATCGCGTTAATAATTTTCAAATGAGATTATTAAAAATATTTATAAAAAAGATTACTTGTTATAAAAAAAGAATAAAAATTTAATTCTTTTCTTTTTTTTTTTTTTATTAGACATACACGGACGAGGATCATGGGATCGCTCAGTCACGAGCTCATCTTTATCACTCGTTGGAAAATTTCTTGGACGAATGTTACGAAGCTTCATGATCACAGCGTCGAGGGAAAATGACAATCTAGATCCTTTGCGCCACCTGCCTCACATTCCACTTGTAAATACCTTGCCACTTGTACATATTCGATGTACAATATGTAATATGAAGCGTTAGTGTACATAATTGAAAAAAGGAAAAAAAAAAAAGAAAAAATAATTAAATACATTCGATTCAAACGTGATAATTTGAAAGATATCGTTCTTCTTTCGATTCTTCATGATTAATAACGAAGGAAAATTTCATATATTTATAATCGAAATATAAAAATAATTGTATTGTAATCGAAGATCGAATATAGGAATTAACTTATTTAGAATGAGGATATATTTATACCTATTTGCGAATCGTTTGAGTCGAATGTAATTTTTGATTGTTAAGAAATCTAGAATTGGAGAATTTTTTTAATCTATTTTTTTGGAGAGACTAGATCGTTTATCGAAGGCCTAATGGGCTCGAAAAAAATAAATTTCTAGCCCTCTTATGAATAAATAACTAAGCCAACGTATAATTGCATCTCGTGAAAACATTTTTTAAAAGTAAGTTTCGTGAAATGACAGATGCAATGCGTTGTATAATCGCCGATAATTCAAAAATATCGAGAATAAGACGAATGTTTTTTGTGAGATATATTATATTGTTAATAAACAAATGTTATTAAATATTATAACGATAAAAATTCGTACATTCAATTACGAATTTATAACACATGTTCCTCTTTCGTTTCAAGCGTTATATGCGAGGCAAGTGAGAATTATGTGAAATGAAGTATAATTAAATACTCTAGGGAGTGTTTTATGAAAAATAAAAATAAATATCCGGCTCGGATATTGTTTATCTTTGAAAGAAAGATCCAACGATATCATTGATCGCATATTTAATATTCATTATTTTTCTTTTCTTGTTTTTTTTTTTTTTTAATTTCAAAACTTGGTGGTGTGGTATAAATTTTATGCAAAAGATTATTTTCGCTTTTTTTTTTTCTTACATTAATAATATGGTATTTAGGCTACAAATATTATATATGTTCTACATTAAAAAAATATTATTTCAACGTTTAAAATTTAAGTTGATGGAATATATCTATAAGTAAAAGAACATTATTTGAACATAATTATTCTTTGTTAATTTTATCAATGTTAGAATAAAAAAGTCTGTTTAATACTATTATAGTGTAAAACATCTATTGTATATATAATTAAGTTGCTGGACTGGTTGTTAAAAAATTCCTCATTATAACATATATTTCTCTTTACTATTAAAAGGAAATATAAAAACATTATCGCGATTAATATTTAACATTTAAGTCCCGGTAGTTTAACCAATGTACTTTAAATACAAAAATTTTATAATGAAAGGACCACTATAATGGTTTCAAAGACAGATTAATAGGAATTTCTCAAACTAATTGTTAACTTTTATTCCAATATATTGTACAAAATATTTAATCAAATATATACAATAAAAATATATTATTACAAAATTTTCAACCATGCATAATTACGAAAAATGTAATGATAAATTAACAGTATTATATAAAATTATTATAATGATTATTATTATTATTATTATTATTATTATTATTACTATTACTATTATTATTATTATTATTATTATCCATTTATTGATATTTGTTAAGTATATTATGAATAAAGCTCTATGTTTTATTAACACGGAGTGTTTATGTTTCAACAATTATTTACCAATCAATTAAGTAAAGAATGTTGAATGTACAAATTAAAATATATAATAAAAATTTATGTTATGAATTCTCTGTCTCTTTAAATCTGAAAAAAAAATATATTTAAACATTTCTTCTTGAAAAAAATCATATTCATAAAAAAATTCTCTTTTCAAAACTTATTTTTTATGCTTAAATAATATTAAAAAAACATACTTGCACTTAGTACATGTATAAAATACTGTTTGTCCTTCATCTGCTGACCTCAATTGCAATGTAGCGTATGACATTTTATCATTTTGACATTGAGGACATTTCCTTTCAACAATTGGTCCTTCTGCTTCTTCTTTTTCGTCATTTTGTTTTGATAGAGTATAAACATTTGTTTTATTAAAATGAATAGTATAAGACATTGACATGTCTCCAAAAGCTAATAATAAAAATTTAATATTTAAAAATAATTTTTTAGAATTATTTAATACAGTAAATAATTCTGATTCTTAACTTTAATAATTTGATTTTTTTAGTGAAATGAATTTAAAAGAATAAAAATAGAAATTGTAAACAATAAAAAATACCTTCAGGACCCCATACCCTTTTGCAAGCATAACATGTTACATTTCCTTTATCACCTAACAATGGTAATATTGATCCGCAATCAGAACAAAAACCAGGAGTACTTATAAAAGAAACAGTAGAGTTTTGTGCCATTTGAGATTAAATAAAAATAACTAATTGTAACCTTAAAATGATTATAACCTCTAAAATGAAATAACCTCTTGATGTAATAAAAACATACACGCAAATTGAAAAAATACTTCTACTAATAAACTACCATGAAATATTGAATATAAGAATGAAAACTTATATGCTAAATTAAAATAGACATTGCTTATCTAGTATACATATTTTTTATGCTTATTTCATGGAAACTATTCCTAATGTTCAATATAGCTACATGTCGCGCGGCGTTTCTGCGCGTGTATGTTTTGCTCGTTTACTCTATCAGAACCGGCAAAATGGACGATATAGCACTCCGAGTATCTGATCATGTTTTAGAAGTGATTTTTTCTTATTTAGACTTGCACACGTTGAGAAACTGTTCGTTAGTATGCAAGCGATGGAATCGTTTCTTAAATGATGAGAATAATGATGCGTGGAGAATGCATTGCATCAGAAAGTTAGCCCAAGAAGCACTTAGTTCCGATTTATTATCATCGGTGCCTACTTATAAATCAAAGCTTCGTGCGTTTTATCATGCATGGAATCCTAATGACTGCTCTCGTAATATTTATATTAGGCCCAATGGATTTACTATGCACAGGTAGCATCTTGGATTCTGTCATTTCTGTATGTTATTTTCTAGTTTACATTTTAATTTGAATCGTCATACAATGTTAAATTTTCTTCGTTATATTTATATGTATATCGAGAAATTAAAAATATTTTAAATATTTTAATATTGAAATCTTCGAACAATATTAAAAGTCCAACTGCTTCGCAATAAAAATTAATTATTTAAATATAAAATAATAAATTTTCGGTGTTGAGTGTGTTTTTATGTAATAAATGTTAAGTGAGTGCTTGAATCTTTACTACTTGAGTTATAGGAATCCAGTTGCTCAGAGCACAGATGCCTGTAGAGGTAAAATTGGTTTTCGACATGGACGTCATGCCTGGGAAGTTATTTGGGAAGGACCTTTGGGCACAGTGGCAGTAATAGGAATAGCTACAAGAGAAGCACCTTTATTATGTCATGGATATGTAGCATTAGTTGGTTCTGATGAACATTCATGGGGATGGAATCTTGTAGATAACCATTTATTACACAATGGAAATGTACAAGGAAATTATCCTTTACTTAACAATGCTCCAAAATATCAGGTATATTGCATTTTTTATGATATAACTACTTTTTATATAGGTAAAGGGATATTTCTTAAAATAACAATTTTATAATTATCAGGTTGGGGAAAGAATTAGGGTAATATTAGATTGTGATGATAATACATTATCTTTTGAAAGAAATTATGAATTTTTGGGAGTGGCATTTAGAGGTATTGTATCTCAATGTTTCCTAGTTAAAAATAAATTCTTAAAAAAAAAAAATAATTTTTTGATATTAATGAAAAATTAAATGCATAGGATTGCCAGACAAAAGATTATACCCATCTGTATCTGCTGTATATGGAAATACAGAAGTATCTATGGTGTACTTAGGACCACCTCTAGATGGCTAACACTTTATTTCTAATAGAAACATATCTCCAAAAGTTTGATGAAATTTGGATGCAAAATTGTTTGCATCATACCAAAATGTCTACTATGAAGTAGAACAAGCACACCAATGAACTGTATGATACTCTTTAAAAGAGATGTGTGCCTGTTCATTCAGTCAATAACATTGTAAATAGTATTAGCATTCCATTTCAATCGATAAATTCATGGTAGTGCTTTATACAATGCTAACAGTTATAAGTTACTCAACAATCAACATTAATAAATTCATTTCATTTAAATCATATATCTGCTAATAGTGCTGATATATACATTTTATAATGAAATTTCCCGTTTAAATTTTATATTTGAAAGTATCTTTATACACGAAAGTTGAGTGACATATTACTGATTTTGAAATAAATGTAAAAATATTCTTAAGTTAGACAATGTGTGAAAAGAAGTTCCTTCGCGAATTATATATGTTCTTTAAGAGAACATGAATTGAATTATTTTATTATTCTAAAATCTCATTAAATCATGTAGATTATAATTTTTAAGTAATATTTATACACAGACAAATAAGTTCTTTGCTTTTCAGTATTAATATTTGAGTCTTCATAAAAATATTTTGCTTTATATGAAAACTATTCATATGCCAATAAAATGGCAAATTTTTATTGTTTATAAAATAGTCATATATTTAACTTATTTCGATCATTACTAAAGACGCGAATTAAAAATTAAATTAATTTTTTTATCGTCTTTAATTACATAGGAACCGTAAAACAAACTGTGATTCATCTGTATTTTATTATGTTAACACCGTGTAAAGATATCTTATAAGATATCTTATGTTTACCATACTTAAGATCTTTTTGTATAAAATATGTTTCTTTTTCCTTTTTTTTCGTAAATTTATTTAAATATTTATATGTATTTAAAAAAATTATTATTTATTTTCTAAATATAAGTATCAATTTTTCTAATACTGATGAAACAAGCAGCGAAATTGACAAACAATTCGAAGAAAACTTCGTAATTATAGTATACAGGGTGTTCCACTTAAAGTGTTCATAGCTGCTTTATTTTTAAATGTACAAAACAATGTCGTAAATTGTAAAATATCACGTGATAAACATCACTCAATTTGTATGATAATTAATATTTTTCTTTTTAAGTAAAGCGAAATAATGATAAAAATAAAATTAGTACCTGTCGAATTCATTTATACGACATTATAATCGAACTGATTTTTTTTTCTCTATGAGAATTTTGTTTTTATATGTGTCATAATTTGTGTATAAATATTCATTTAGTTATCATATCATGTTTTAAAATATCATATATTTTAAAATTTTTAAATTATATTTTCATATATTTTAAAATTAAATTAAATATATTTTAAATCATATATTTATAATCGCAGTATAAAATTTAAGTGATCACTATTGTGATTGATGCACAACAAATCTTATTTAACTAATGTAATCAACTTTTTGATTCGCTTATGCATTTAGTATAAGAAAATTATGTATCAACTATGCGTGAAATTTGTACATCGTGCTCTGTGAAATATATTTATAAATAGAAATTATTCATTAGCGCCCACAATTGACGCTAGAACTTCAACGTAAACGAAATGACGAATAAGAATGATTTCTAATGTACATATTCATTATGGTTATTGTGTTTGTTACATGTAGTTTCGATGAAATTATGTTTTTTCTAAACTTTTGTACAGAATCGTGTATATATATAGTAATCATGGGTGTACGAGAAAAAAATAAACCTTGTTTTATATCTATTTAATGGATTCATATACATAAATAGCAAACATTACGGATCACGGACTGATTTAGAATTAATATTTCTCTCGATCGATTATCGGTCCAATCAAGTCTCCATAAAAAGAAGTATACTCTCGTTTCGAAAAAATACGAAACGTAATATAAGTTAACTTCGAATACGAACTATTGATATTACATGTGGAGTATAGTGGTGCCTTATTACAATTTTTTCGACATAATATTGATGTGGCTATGATGATACATAATAGCGTTAAGTATTCCAATATTAATAGATATCAACCAGTTATAATAATTCGAAAAATCGGTAATAAAACAAAAAAATCATTTTGTAAAACACGTGTTACGCATGCATCATATAACCATTTGCGAAGCTATTCTGTACAAATGTTTAGAGAAAGAATGAATTAGTCGTAATACGATTAAGCTTGGAACACCAGTATACTTGCACGTATATCAGAAATATGAGAGTTTTAAAGAAACATAAAAAAAAAAAAGAAATGTAAATCGCTCTGTAAATAAATTATTTTATTTTAATGCTTTAATGTTTGTATTGTTGCATACCACGAATCATAATGATTGATAAATTTTAACATTTTTTTCTAAGAAGAAAAAAATGAAACAAATGTTTGGTATCATAATTTATTTAAACACAAGAAATACTTTATATAAACCTTTTCCACCTCGTATTCCTTGTACAAATCAACGCGATTTAATACGCAATTTGAAATCAAACATAATGTTTCTTTCATTATTTGTTCTTTACGGATTAAGTTCCACATTTAATACCAAATTTATACATGATTGCTATCGCTATGACGATAACGCTTTCTATAACTTACAAAAATATAATGGCAATTTATTATACATTTAATTTTTATTGCTGTGCAATTTGTAAATAAATTCTAACTTAATTATACGTATTAAAGATTCAATGTTGCAATCAAGTAAGTTAATTAAAAGTAAATTATTAATTGGAATGAATCCAAAACTTTCTTTGGTACATTGAGACATTGAATCTTATATTATATTGTTATATTATATAATAATGATTTTCATTATTCATGCTTATTTAAATTATGCTTATTTTCTGATAAACAGAGCTAATAAAAAAATAACAGAGTTTTGAAAAAAGATAGATATACATAATATTTTTGTTTTTACTAAATCTAATAGAAAATATTGATTCAAAATATATATTATTTATACATATGTATTAATATTATATACATTATTAGATTTATACATATGTATTAGTATTATATACAGTTATACATATTTATACATATGTATAAATAATTTAATTCATCATTTAATTTGTAATAAAAGTTCTTGTTGCACAGCAAATGACTACTAATATTTAATGCATATTAAAAACAAATATTGTTATAAAAATTTTTTTCTTATTATTATAGCATATCAAAAATCAAAATTAAACTTTTCCAAGGCCTTTGTAATCACAAGTTAAATGCAAATAATATTCAGTTTGAATAAAATGTAAAAGTTTTATTAAATATCAATTAACTCTTTTATGTGGAATTCATATATAAAATAATTATTTATAATATCTTAATTAGATATTTATTTCTTCTTATCCGCAATAGTTTTTCATGATTTTATAATTTTTAATTTATTTATTTTCCACACAAAAGAATTTTAAAATTAGTTATATAAAAAATGCGCATAATTAAAGCATAATTAATCAAGATATTAAAATTATAATTACAAATATTATATATAAAATTTTCATTCAATTTAAAAAATAATAAGGAAACTATTTGATATAAATTAATGAAAATTTTGAATGTAAAAATTTAACAAAATATATATGAAATAGATAGAAAATTTTTCATTAGGCCATGATATTATAAACATTTACTTTCTTGTGTAAATTTATTAATTTAATATTATGAGCAAATGTTCATTTTAAATAATAGTTTATTCTACAAAAAAATTAAAAAATAAAAATATGATAAAACAATTTAAACAAAAAATAGGAAAATAGAATGTACATAAAAAGTGTGCACAAGATAATTATTTGTTATAATACTTATTTGAATTTTATATTGTTACAAATTTTTATATAGATGCATGTTAATTTTGATAATTGTATAAAATCATTACTTGATGTAATTTTAATTTTAATTTTTTTCATTGATTTTTGATTGATTCTCATGTTGCATAATTAAAATAATATTTTATTATCTGTGCATACCATTAACACAATTTATTATATTTATTTAAAATAGATTAACTTTCATTATTTATTAAAATATTTGTCTTTTGTATTTCATATCACATAATTAATCATTATATCACAATAAATCTGCTTTTCAGTAATGAGAAATTATCTTCTGGAAAAAGATAATTCATTAAATTAAAAATAAATAAATCACAAAATTCATTATTTGATTTAGCACGCTTGTCTTTTAATTATGACAGGTACATTATTTTCATAATTAAATCTCTATTATAGCATGATAAGATAAACATTATAATAATAATATATTTAAGTGTAAGAAAAACAAAATTGATTCTCTAATGACACTGAAAAAATTGTATCCATCCATGTAAATTGTAAGATAAATGTTGTAAAACAATTATTTATGGAATGAATTTGAAATAGTTTATATATACATAAATAATTCAATAGCATAAAAGAATAATCACGCACAAAAATATTTTTATAATAATAAAAAAATAGCATATAAAACAATTATCCTCTTTAATTATATTTTGTTATATTTTTAAAAATTGCCGTGTTTTTAAATAGAAAACTGATTTACACATAACATTCCTAATTATAGATGCATAAAAAATGCGAGATCATTGGATTCTCATATTCAGAAAATTCTAAAAAAAAAAGAATTCGAAAAAAAAATGTGCTATATAGCACAATAGTAGAACCTACTTAAAATTTATGATATTCATTATTTATTTGAAATTTATAAATCCCTAATTACTATTATAATTTGTTCTACACTGTTTCTATTCAATATATTATTCACATATATAGTGTGAAAAATAATTACAGAATTGATTATTAAAAAAAAAAATCTGTAATTATTACAGATTACAACTATATATTATGAATGCACATATAATAAACACAAATCAGTTTGTGTTCATTTAGTTATTGACATACAAACTTATATATTTTTTTGAATCAAATACTCACTGAATTGCAGCAGAATATTTGTATAATATTCATTAGTATTACGAAATATTATTCTAGTTTACATGTGTATGTCCATTTCCTGAGGTATCTTCATACAATTTTTCATTATCATCAAAATTATTTCTTGTTGGAAATACACATTCAAGCGTTGGTTTTACTTTAGTCAATGAAAACTTTGTTAAGAAAAAATCAGATACATAGCAAAATAGCTTACATAATAAAGGACATAGTAATCCTTGATGAATAAATGTCCACATTCGATAATTTTGTCCTTCAAATGGGTCTAAAATAGCAGCACATAACATATGACTAAGATTTACTTGTGTGGGCTAAAAAATGAAATATTAGAATTAGAAATGAAATACAAAATAAATATAAATAAAAATATGTTATATAGTAATACATACCAATGCAATAGGTTGGATAATCCAAAAATGATAAACTAAATTTATTCCATAACTAAATACACACCAACTCATATCCGATAGAGGTTCAATATTATAGACACCTAAGGATAAAATATATGTTTAAAATAAAAAAAAAAATTAATATTCAAAACAGTTTGACTATAACTATCTACCTCCAATTCTCAATAAATAATATGGTATTACTACCATTAAACCATGTTGAATATAGTATAATGCTTTATCTGCAAATATCTGAAACAATTATATCAATATAAATTTGAACCATAAAAAATGTTTTTTATAGTAAAAAAAAATGATTTACTCTGCGAGATTCTGTTTCTGGAAATAAATATGCTAAAAGTGGTCCATTCAAGAAGTTTAAGTGTATCCTAAAGATAGCTGTAACCATAGGGCTAGGATTTGCTGCCAATAAATATAACTATATACAAAAAAAAAAAAGAATAATTATAATTATATCAGCATAAATAAAATATATATATTTCTGTTCAAATATTTTTATTTATTTTACCTGTGCTGCTGATGTTATATGACAAGGATTTAATATATATATAACTGTTCTACTGGTAAACTTAAATCCAATTTCCATTCCTAATACTAATGACATAATGATTAATAAAATCCTCCTACCAACACAATCTTGATTTACATATGATACTTTAGATGGTAATTTGATTCTTCTGTAACCCCATACTAGAAAACTTATTATGAATATTGATATAAATAATGTTTCAATAATTCTTTGTTTTAAACTTAAATAATATGCACATTCTGGTCCTACATTACGTGGTATAGAGGCATTAACACCATCATATGCCCATTCAAACATTGCTATGAATTCTTTTTATGCAACTGAAATTAAACAAAATTAAGATTAATGATTTAAATACAGATTAACTCACGTTTAAATCTATGCTATCCGCAATGACGAATTTCAGACTACCAGTAAATAGAACGTTTTATTGAATAATGTACATAATTCCTTAATGCTTGTTTAAACATTAGATAAACAAGAAATATAATATACAGAGAATTAAAAATGAATTATAATTTATTACTTTTGAATGTTATATTGGATAATATAATTATTGATTCCGAAACGAAGAGTCTTTAAATAGAAAATTATTGAATTTAACGTACCTATTTTCTCAGAATCTAATAAACACAAAAGTAATATAGAATACTTTAAATTGATATGCACTGTATAACAAATTGCATCAACACACACTTGTAAGTATAAATGAATTTCATACTGAGCACCGCGTATTTCCTATTGACGTTTCCTATCGAAGAACTTCAAAATTCTGTTACCATCTTCATATCATTTTCAATAATACCGACTCAGCACAATAAAATATCACAGGTACATCACAGATGATGCATATATTATATTTGACAGATGGCACCACAATATTCTTATAAGTTCAACTCGGCCGATAGTTCACGTTTTAATTCATAATATTAAATTTTTCTATTTACTTTCGATCGTATAAGGGAAGAAAGAAAAAAATTTAGTACGAATATGCATAATCAATATTTAACCTAAAATACAATAATTAGAATACTGTAAGAAAAGAAAGAGGGAAAGAACGATCAAGTGAACGATAAAACGATAAAATCAGTGTAACTAATCTAAAATAATATTAAATGAAAAATAAGTGAGTTTTTGAATCGCTTAGAACAAATATCAGAAAACTAACAGAAAAAAGAGATACCTGATACTAAAAGTATATCCACTGTTTTGCAGCAAACATATTCAAATAATTACACAAGAGAATTCTAAATTACAGTCAAATTTAAGCAAGACCTAAACAAAAACTAAAATAGAACAAAGATTACTGTTGCCCGGAATTTCAGTATTGCCAAATATGCAGCTAAAAGAAAATTCAGAAAAGAAAATTCTGCGCTGATAAAATTTAAAACAGACGCAAACGAAAGCATTCAACTAACGTGATATAAAATTCATAGAAACGGTGTAAATAAACGATTTAACACAAATGTAAATAAAAATATAATCATTTTCTAAGTTTTCTAATTCGCTATATATAAAGAATTGAAGAAGTCAGAACACTTCACAGATCACGAACAAAAAAAAAACCAATAGATTTTACAATAGAACTAAATAAATTCTAAATTAAAAATTGCCATATTTGAAAGAACAGTTTCTTACAGACTACTTTAAGATTTACAAATCGTGTAATATGCAGAGATATCTAGAATTTATTAAAACAAGAACAAGTAAGAAATAATTAAATTCTATAAAAAAAAAACATTGCTAATAAATATTGCTTAATATATTAAAAATAAATTACAGGGAAAATGTTAGAGAAAAATAGAGAGAAAATATATTACGATTTACAATTAATATTACGATATCTAATGATTTTTAAAAATCGAAACGAAGATTTTACTTGTAACTTAATAAATTTCAATAAAGTATGTGAAAAAGTAATCGCGTGCGCAGCCAATCAGCTCATATTATTTTCTATACAATTTAAAATCGTATCACAGATACGATTATGAATTGTACAGTAAATAATAATGATTTCCCAGGTCTCACCGCGTGGAGGTTGCTGCGAATTGGAGACCCACCCTACCCGCGATCCCATCCACCCTCCTTTACGCAAAAAATTATTTAAAATCAACGATAAATGTTCCTTTTGTCGTAGAATTGCAAAACG